TACAGACATATTTCCCATGTTTGTGTCCTTAAACAATTTTAGAAGTACAGAAAAATAACTACACACAATGTAGTGCTGTGCCAGGTGGGTCCACTGATACTCACCCTTCACACACGCAAAAGGTGCAAACCCAGTTCATAAATGCTGTTCACACTAAGCCCGGGTTCACACTTGTGCGATGCGGCATATTGCATGTGATTCACACAGGAACCGCACCGCATTCTTGTGCAAATCACATGCAAATTCTGTGCGGTGCGATCTGAGCCCAAATCGCACCGCATCTGCACCAAAGAGATGCAGGACCCTTTTTTTGGTCTGCACTAGAGTCGGCTCACATGGGTGTTCACACCTATGCAATCTGACATCGCGCCGTGTTTTGCGGACTGATTTCGGGGTGTTGTTAACCAGGGGGCGGACTGACAACTCATGGGGCCCCCAGGCAATAGGGGATCATGGGGCCCCTGTGTCCTTGCCCAAACTCCAAAAAGCCAATGAAAAAGGTACCAGGGGCATCTCATGGGGCCCTCTACTGACCCCGGGCCCTCGGGCAGTGCCCGAGTTTACAAATGGTCAGTCCACCCGTTGTTAACATACACACCCGCAGCAGTTCGTATGAATGGGGTGCAATTGTGATGCAGTGTGGAATTTGCACAGAAACCGCTGTGAATTCCGCTCCGTATCAGTGTGAACCCAGGCTCAAAAACTAAATGATCCAGATAGCTGGCCTCTTTAATCTTTTAAAAATCCACCTTTATTAGAAATGATCTGTAAAAAGCAGCATTAAGGGCCGGGTTCACACTATAGAAACACAGCCCAGATGCATTCCGGATGCGCGTTCCACATGCGTGTTTTTGCATTTTTGCCACGTTCTGGTGAGTTTTTGACGCATTCCAGTTCATTTTTTTCCCCTCTCTTTTTCTTCAATTTAAATGGGGACATGTGTGTTCCAAGTGCGTTCCACCGCGTTCCAGTACAGTTCTGTGCAGGAAAACTGCAACCTGTTCTACTTTTTTTTTCTGCATCCGGAACACACTGGAACTGCGAGCACTGATGTGAACTATGACATTGCCAACCGTATAACCTACTTTCTGTGCGTTTTGGATGCAGAAAAAAAGCACACTGAAAACGCATGTAGTGTGAACTAATCAGTCTAAGGGCCAGTTCACACTACACGCATTTGTGTCCTTTTTTCCTGCATCCAAAATGCACAGATAGTAGGTTATATGGTTGTCAACATCATAATTCACATCAGTGCTTGCAGTTCCAGTGTGTTCTGGCTGCAGAAAAAAAAAAAAAAAGTAGAACAGGCTGCATTTTTCCTGCACAGAACTGTAATGGAACGTGGTAAAACGCATCAAAAACGCACTGTAACACACATGTCCCGGTCTTAGATTGTAAGCTCCTAGGATCAGGGCCCTCCTATCCCTCTTGTATTGAACTGTATTGTTGCTGTATTGTCTCATATTGTAAAGCGCTGAGCAAACTGTTGGCGCTATATAAATCCTGTATAATAATAATAATATATAAATCCTGTATAATAATAATTTAAATTGAAGGAAAAAAAAGAGGAAAAAATTAACCGGAACGCATCAAAAATGCATAAAAAAGGCAACAGAACGCGCCAAAAATGCGCGTGCGTTAACGCATTCAGAATGCATCTGGACTGCGTTTCTATAGCGTGAACTGGCTCTAAAGATACAGCGTGGAGAGAGAGGTTAATGGGTCTCATGCTACTCATAGTGCTTAATCATAGCCAACAATAAGAGCAGTGCGAAATGCGTTAGCCTCTCCACCCCCCCCCCCCCCCCCGCTGTCCCATTTGGCTGATTTTATGCTGCTTTGTACAGATCATTTGTAATAAAGGTGGATTTTTAAAGGATTAAAGAGCGCAGCCCTCCAGATGTTTTCATTATTTCATGTGCACAGAAAAATAACTATTGGATCTGCCAGAAATCAGCCAAAAGGTCCAGCGGGGGAAAGAGAGGTTAACGCATTTCATGCTACTCAGCGCATACTAGACGTGTGTTTCAGTTTGTAACAAAACGATTTTCAGATAAAAATGTTTGAATTTCAGAGATTTGGTTGTATACGAATATTCGACTAGACATAGTAATGAATGTTAACAAATCTGAAAGAAGGTGTAACGAGATTATTCGGATGACATCACGTGATGCGATAGTAGTTTGGGTTTGCGTCTGAATATTAAATCCTTCTGAACAGTTTTGGTATATGGATAACAAATCCACCGGAAATATCAAAACCAAAAACTAATATATAGCAATCTTCCAAAAAAAAAAAAAAAACTGATACTTTTTTTAATCCACTGGGACTAACGAACGCCGAAGATATACAAATCGAATTCCGAAAACAAATCGATTAAACATAATGCATGTGATGAAACTAAGTTCTTCAATTAACGAATTAATCTGAAAAAAAAAAAAAAACAAATTCCCATCATACACATGTCTAGCGTTTAATCATAACCAGCGCTGAGAGTAGTGCGAAATGCGTTAACCTCTCTCTCCCCGCTGTACCTTTAGGCTGAGTTTATTCTGCTTTGTACGGATCATTTCCAATAAAGGTGGATTTTTAAAGGATTAAAAGAGTCCAGCCGTTAGTTTTTTTTTTCAGTGCACATTAAAAAATCAATTGATCTGCCAGAAATCAGCCAAAAGGTACAGCAGGGAGAGAGAGGTTAACGCGTTTCACGCTACGCGGCGCTTAATAGACGTGTGCTTTTCGTTTCGTAAAAGAGTCCAGTCATCCAGATCTCTGTTTTTTCACGTGCAAAAAAAAACGATTGATCTGCCAGAAATCAGCCAAAAGGTACAGCGGGGAGAGAGGTTAACGCGTTTCATGCTACTCAGCGCTTAATAGACGTGTGCTTTTCGTTTCGTAAAAGAGTCCAGTCATCCAGATCTGTTTTTTCACGTGCTCAGAAAAATAACTATTGATCTGCCAGAAATCAGCCAAAATGTACAGCGGGGAGAGGTTAACGCGTTTCACACTAAGAGGTTAATAGACATCTGCTTTTTGTTTCGTAAAAGAGTCCAGTCATCCCAGATCTTTGTTTTTTCACATGCTCAGAAAAATAACCAGTGATCTGCCAGAAATCAGCAGCAGGGAGAGAGAGGTTGATGCGTTTCACGCTACTCTCACCGCTTAATCATGACCACTGATGAGATTATTTTGAAACGCGTTAACCTCCCTTCCCCCACTGTACCTTTTAAACTGATTTTATGCTGCTTTGTACAGATCATTTATTAAGCTCCGTCAACACCTATGCAGTTTGCTTTTTGTCCGTTTTGCAGTGCTTTTCGCAGTTCATTTTCCGTTTTTCTACACACGTTTTTTTATAAGTTTTTACCTCATTTTGTTCACTTTTATTTTTGTTTTAAGTGGAATTTTTTTTGTTACTGGGCAGAATAAAAATGCAAAACGCAGCAAAAATGCATTACCATGGGCAGCACAGTGGCTAAATGGTTAGCACTTCCACCTGGCAGTACTAGGGTCGTTGGTTCGAATCCCAACCCCGGCACCACCTGCCTGAAGTTTGCATGTTCTTCCTGTGACTGCGTGGGTTTCCTCCGGGTACTCTGGTTTCCTCCCACACTCCAAAAACATGCTGGTAGGTTAATTGGCTCCTGTCTAAATTGTCCCTAGTATGTGTATGTATGAATGTGAGTTAGGGACCTTAGACTTGTACGCCCCCTTGAGGGTTAGGGACTGATGTGAATGTACAATATATATGTAAAGTGCTGTGTAAATTGATGGCGCTATATAAGTACCTGAAATAATAATAATAATTTCAGCAGTTTCTCCATTGAACTCTATTGTAGCAAAAACGCAGTTTTTTTGCTTTTAAAAAAGTCCCTACGCCTTTTCAAAAACGCAGCAGCTCAAAAAACCATATAGATGTGAACAGGTTCCATAGGTAAACCATGTTAAAGGGACTGTAGTGCGCTTCTGCAAAAAGCACAAAAAAATACGCATTGGTGTGAATGGAGCCTAAAGGTAGATTTTTTAAGGATTAAACAGTGCAGCCCTCCAGATCTCTTCGTTTTTTGATGTACCCAGAAAAAACTATTGATTTGCCAGAAATCGATTGAGCTCCTTAACCACCTGTTTTAGGTGACAACACTGCCTCTGCTGCACTAAAATCCCAAGCAGTTGTCAGCCATGTCTGGAAGAAAAAACACCTGCCCCGTCCTGTAGTCCAGCAGGGTGGAACTTGGGCATGGTTTCAATGCTGTTTGGAGCAGAGGCGCATTGAATTGTCAATTGAAACAGGAAGACGGAAGCACGCTGGAGTTTTTTGGACATCAGCCAATATTTATCTGTACTTTTTAAGGAGATAACAAAATGAATGGTATAAACATGGAGAAACGTGCTTGTACTGGAGACATTTACTGCATATTTTTCTTTTTAATTTTGCCAAGACATACATTGTAAGAGTTGAATTCTGTCAGTAGCACAGCATCCAGGTTAATGCCCATAATAATTCATAGGATGCTGAAACGATATTATAGATGGCACCAGGAAAGCTTTTACAAATATTATCCTTTCACCGGCACAGAAATGTTGTAGACGTCATTTTAGACGGCACAACCAGCCAATGTTTGGAGGCCACGCAGGCTCTCTTTTAAAAAGGCAGGACATTGGTTGGTTAGCAATGACCGATGGCTGAATAAAACTTTGTTCTTGGAGGCGGGTGGGTGAAGGATATTCATTTGTTTAATAAAAGTATGACCAATGTTCAAGGAGGGAAGGCAGAGCTGAGAACGAAGATCACACTGCAGGGGTTTCTAAGAGGGATAAAAATCTGTGGGGAGGACTCCTCCTATTAGCATCCACCTGAGACTGAAATGCTTTTCGAATGACTTAAAATTTTTGTAAAAAAATACCCTTACAGCGAGACCCTGACCCTCCTTCCCACACTGCAAGGGTAACCGCTTGTTAAAGTGTTACTAAGCCCCGGACCCTGCATTCACTACATCCGCTGTCCCCGGACCCTGCATTCACTACATCCGCTGTCCCCGGACCCTGCATTCACTACATCCGCTCTCCCCGGACCCTGCATTCACTACATCCGCTCTCCCCGGACCCTGCATTCACTACATCCGCTCTCCCCGGACCCTGCATTCACTACATCCGCTCTCCCCGGACCCTGCATTCACTACATCCGCTCTCCCCGGACCCTGCATTCACTATATCCCTGTCCCCTACATCCGCTCTCCCCGGACCCTGCATTCACTATATCTGGTCTCCCCGGACCCTGCATTCACTATATCCACTCTCCCCGCACCCTGCAATCACTATATCTGCTCTCCCTGGACCCTGCATTCACTATATCCGGTCCCCCCGGTCCCTGCATTCACTATATCCGGTCTCCCCGGACCCTGCATTCACTATATCTGGTCTCCCCAGACCCTGCATTCACTATAGCCGCTCTCCCCAGACCCTGCATTCACTATATCTGGTCTCCCCGGACCCTGCATTCACTATATCTGGTCTCCCCGGACCCTGCATTCACCCTGGTCTCCCCGGACCCTGCATTCACTATATCTGGTCTCCCCGGACCCTGCATTCACTATATCTGGTCTCCCCGGACCCTGCATTCACTATATCACCCTGCATTCACTATATCTGGTCTCCCCGGACCCTGCATTCACTATAGCCGCTCTCCCCGGACCCTGCATTCACTATATCCGGTCTCCCCAGACCCCACTATATAGCCGCTCTCCCCGGACCCTGCATTCACTATATCCGGTCTCCCCAGACCCTGCATTCACTATATCTGGTCTCCCCGGACCCTGCATTCACTATAGCCGTCTCCCCGGACCCTGCATTCACTATATCCGTCTCCCCAGACCCTGCTTTCACTATATCTGGTCTCCCACAATACACACAATATAGAAGTGCAATTATTTTAGTAAATATAAACTGCTAGATACCTTTTCTCATCAGTAGTTAGAGCAGTCTTGTGATTTCAGCAAAGCTTGGGTTGTAGGAGGAGTTTTTTTTTCTGCTCTAGGAGGATGCAGGACCCCTGACCTCTGTCTGCACAGTGCTGATTGGCCCTGTGATGATCACATGCACTCTCCCAAGCAAAAAAAAACAAACCTCTCTAGCAATACACATCAAACTGAGCAGGTGCATGTGACTATGGATTCAGTCTGTATCAGGTGGTCATTTCAACAAGAGGAGGGGCAGAGAAGACAGGATCAAACAGCCTTTTTACACAATGCAGAGGATTAACCCCTTAGGTTCCACAGTGAGTATAACAAGTATGCTTTACTGAATATACAGACTGATTTTACTGTTGTGGGTTTAGTAACACGAAGTCTAGGAGTAGAGGAACTAGCCGTGACACTTGTCCCTCGCTCCAGATGGCCCAATGCTGTCTTTGAATTGGCCCTCGGCCTCCTCCTGTTCAATGAAGGACTAACGGCCCTGTATTGTACATGATGGCTGGAGCAACACAGAGGAAGGAATTCATTGGACTGGTCCCACATTGTAGTGGGCGCCAACTGGAGAAAGGAATAAGGCAACTATAACAGTTTCCCCTCTATCCATGGACTTAAGCATTTAACCCTTTCAGTATTTTTAGTTTCCTGGAGAAATTTTTGTCAGTTCTCCTGAGCTCCACAAAGATTTGCTCATTGGGTGGCCCTGTCAGCCCCGCGGATAAAATCTCAGCCAAACAGCGACTGCATCTGATCAGGGCCGGCTGTCAAACTGCAATAACTTGTAGTGGGAGATTCTTCATCCACGCTGAACAGTGTACATGGAGAAGTCTAACAGTGTGCGGCCAGCTTCATAGCGCTGCGTATATGATGAAATCACATCTAAATGGGCAAGATTTAATCTCATTCCACTTATAAAAAGTGGGCTGTTCCTTGACTGACAGTCCTTAAAGTGGAGTTCCATGCAAAAGTAGATGTTCTGCTCATCTGCCTTCTCTTCCCCTTCTTCTGCCACATTTGCCACCTTTTGGGGGGGGGGGGGGTACCTGGTTTGACAGTTCATCCCCCCTCCCCGCAGCCCTCTGGGAAACTTAACAGGTCCCAGAGAACTGCAGCCCACTCATAAAGCGCATGCTCAGTAGGGAGACCAGCTGTGAGGCCGATTTCACTGCTGATTTCCCTTCGGCAAGATGGCGGCACCAGCAACCAAGAGCCGATTGAAGAATTGTCTCGGGGTGAGGACAACACTGGATCCCTGGGCAGGTAAGTGCCCTAATATTAAACGCCAGCAGCTACAGTATTTGTAGATGTTGACTTTCATCTTTTCCTTTGGGGGGGGGGGGGGCGGAACTTCGCTTTAACTCAGACTGGAAAGGTAGAGGCTCTTCAATAGCAGTTTAGGGGGGGCGGTACAACCATCCCACTTCAGCTACCAGGGGTGTACACATGCTGCCGCAGGAATTACACCCCCCATTGCGTTCAGTGCCCACCGACTCAACCCATTCGAAGTGAATGAGGCTGTGCTGCTTCCACCCTGCAATCACGAGCAATGCATGCCTTATCGCTGCCTGTCAAACGCCTCTGAAAAGCAAACCAAGCATGGATCGCTTTTCAGAGGAGCAACAGTCTTTGCCACTAGTGAACATGAACCCTAAGGTTCGGTGAACTCTGTCTAACTCAAATCAATTATATTGAAAAAAATTGGTTGGTATTGTTGGAGGCACTGTTAGGCTTTGAACACATAGGCTTTAGTTATAGATTAAATTTCAGCAAGCTTCGAGCAGCTTTCTTGAAGAACGTAAAGAAGCCTTCAGCTACAGTTTTGTAATGGTAAACACAGATCACAGGCTTTGATCAAGGTTCAAATGTGCTAAAAGCCAGCTGACAGATTGCTTGCCATCCACAGGCCGTTTATAAAAGGCCTGGGATGCATGTGGTTCAAACAAGCTCACATATATTTTTTTTAGCCAGCTCCCTGCTATCCAGTAAAAGTGATCTGGGTGGCTGTAAATCCACTTAATAACTTTTACGGTACAATCTGCCTGTGAACAAAATTTGGGGTACCATTCACCATTTCACAGGTGAAAGCAATTTTAAGGCTTGACACGTTTGGCATCTATTTATTTGATACCCATCTTTTCTATTTTACAAAAATATGTGCATTATATTGTATTTGTCTGCACTAAAATTAATTTTAGTGTATTTTTCCTGAAAATATAGATTTGATAAACTGTTTTGACATAAAAAATTGCAACTTGTACTATTTTATTCTAGAGGACTTCTGCTTTCAAAAAATATATCATTTTTGGGGGGTAGTAAGTAATTTTCTATCGGAAAAAATGCAGATTTTAGCAAAAAATTTTAAAATTGCTCTTTATGCGAAGTGGTTAAAGTGGAATCCAGCACTCCCATTATGATCTGGGTTTAACATTGCCAAATTGGAGCTGAAGGTTGCTTTAAGGAGACCCTATTAGCAACGTAAAACAATGCAGGAAAAAGCACACAAAAAAATTAAAGTTTTTTTAAATGCTTGCCAGCAGTGTTTTTCCTTTCCAAAAATCACTTTTTATTTACTTACAATGTACCTCTGAACTTGCCAGAAAATTTTGACTACTTTCAGAAACGTCCTTCCCCTAGCACAGCCACCTCCCGCCTTGCATGTTATAGTCCTCATCTCTACTGGGAGTGTCTAATTACTCTCTGTGCTGATCCAGCTCCTCCACTCCTCCCTATATAAACTTTTATGGAGGAATATAGAGAGTGTCACTTAATTAATTGATAGCTCTGAGTCTGCTGGTCCTGCTGACATCACATCCAAGATGGTGGCATCCAAGAGCAGTCCTGGGGCTTTTTTTGTCTATAAAAGGGAGGCTTTTACAGGTGAATAACATACAATTCTGAACAGCCTCTTTGGCCCCTGGGCAAAGTAATGCACTGGGGCCCCTACCAGCCTGATCTAATTTCCGCACCTACTCTCAAGAATTAAAGTATAAATAGCTGATAGAATTAAAAAATTTTTTTAGAGCTTTCAATAAAAATCGATTTTAAACAATAAGAAAACGTGCCATAAATCAAAGACTAATCAACACAAATGGCATAGTACAGGGGGAGAAGCAGCAGGGCTCAGTAAGAGAGGGGGGCACAATATTGGGATCCGGAGGGCACAGTACAGGTTGCTACCTGGGCCATCCCAGTAAAAAGTGTGACTGTCCCAGCAAAACCGGGACAGTTGGCAAATATGATGTAATGAAAGATGACCATGCACTTGGGGAGTGGCCAGGGGCGCCCATACATTAAGATGGCCCTGATTGGTTGAACTGGATGGACGTTTGTCTTTTTTTTCAGCCAGACTAACTCTGTAACTATGATACGGAATACGGGTCTCATTAATTTGAAGTCTTCAAGAAAACTTCTGACAGCTTGCTGAATAACTGAAAATGCTTTGTAGAAGCCTGTTGCACATACTGCTATTATTCAAGTTAAACCCATATGTACAACACCAGCATCCATGGCATTAGACTCCCCTAAACAACTGGCCATCCTAGCATAGATCATTTCACAAAAGGGTTTACCCTTTGCATCGCTCCTGCATCAGCCAAGAACTGTAAGTCATACCCACCTAGGTAGAAAAAAACCTTGTTCTTCCTGGACTTCCACGTTAAATATAATATTCATCTTATATAGGTAGATAAATGCTACATAAATGGCATAAACATATATATTGCAAACACAAACAAACTCTGTGCGCCTCTATATAATTTTTTTTTTTTTGCAGCAATGCAATGAGAAAACAAAAAAAAATCTAAGTAATAATCAACTCTGTAAAGTCACATTTTAAATCCACACATACAATATAAAACCTCCCCTATATATCCCTTTAAAATATCTCAATTTGTAACACATACTATGCAAATTTGATTAGACGGGAGTAACAAAATGTACCAATATAATGTAAGCAAAAAAAGCACTCATGGCGAAAGGTTTCCCTTTGTGTACAAACAGACGTTATAATAATGAGCAGCTCCATCCAAAACAGGGCTCTACTTGTTAGGAGTAGGACAGGGTTTGATTTCCTGCAGAGACTTTACTGTTGCCTGGGAGCCTCACAAAGACACATCCTGCACACCCCCTGCAGCTGGAACAAACCAATCTTGGCTTTTTCAGCCGAGCTATTGTTTTCACCAGATTGACTTTTAGACTCCATGCACACTGGATGTTTTAATAACGCTAGTAATGTTAGCTGTGTAAAGTCATGTTAAAAGAAACGTGAGTTTTTCAGCATTTTGCAGCGTTTTTGTATTGCCGCGTTTTGCGGTTTTTAGCGTTTTTTCTTTTTTTTTTTTGACAAAAAAACCAACACATTTTTTGGGTCAAAAAACATCCAAAAACGCTGGTTTGCCGCGATTTTCAGGGTTATTACAACTAAAAAACTCCTCTAGAAACCAACTAGTTCTGGGGTTTGTTTCCAGCAAAAAAACGCCCCAGCCAAAAAAATGTTGATTCCAGTCTATGTGTGTATGGACACATAGGATAACATGCTGGGGGGTTTAC